TAAAGATGGGGTTTACTCCATGATGGCCAGGCTGGTCTTGAACTCCTGACCTCAGGTGATCCACCCACCTCGGCCTCCCCAAGTGCTAGGATTACAGGCGTGAGCCACCGCACCAGTCAGGATGCGCCTCTTAACGATACTCCTGAGGCGAAGCTGTTTTTTTCCTGCAGAGGCGCTTCTGGGAAGCGCCGTCTTTACCATCCTTGTTACCTAGAGAACTACATTACCCAGCAAACTCTGCGTCGAATGACGGCGTGGAAGAGCCGGGAGAGCTCAGAAGAAAGGCGTTTCCTGTGTGCACCTGACAATGGGTCCGGACTTCCGGCGCCCTCTAGTGGCGGCCATTTTGATTTGTGTTGGTTTTGTTAGTGAGAGGCTCCTGAGCGCCGGTCCGGTCTGCGGTGACTGAACTCAGAACGCGGAGAGCAGTTGTCTTCCGCTGCACAGAGGCAAATCTGGAGCTCTGTGACGGCGCCCAGCGTAACCTGCACTTGGGCCAGGATAGGGACCACCGTGTCCGTGTCTCTTGGCTGGTTGCGGTGTCTTCCCGATCCTACTTAAAACCACGTGGTTCGATGGCGGCGGCCACGCTGAGGCTCTCGGCTCAGGTAATTGTGGCGCCTTCCGTGCCCTCAGAACACCTCACCCTCACCCAAGAGCAGCGAGGGAGCGGCGCCTGCTCACGGCTCTGCAGCCGGGTCGCCGGCGTCGGGACACAGGCGCTAACGGGAGGGGCCCCATTTCTGACACCCATGGGATAAGGTGGGGAGACCGACAGGCACAGGGACTGGCGCGGGCAATGGCCTGGAGATGGACTGACCGGAAGGATGGAATCTGGGGTAGAGAGGGAGCAAATTGTGAGTTAGAGCTCCTCCTGGAAGAGCAAGCCGGCTGGGGACTGTGCACTCCTTGTGGGGACACTGAAAGCCATGGAGAGTTTTGAAGAAAAGGATATTATGAGCATTGCAAGCGTAGAGATAATCAGGTCCACGCATGTTTGTGTCTTTCCACAGTGTCATGTGTTTACTGATGTTATATGAGTCAACAAAAGTCATGAGCTAAATGGAGTTCCAAGGAGGCAGTTCTCTTTAGTGATTCCAGTTCTCTTGGTAGTCAGGGCCATGGGCACAGAGGCTCAAGACACTACACAAGTCAGTCATTATAGCAAACCAAACACAATAGTATACTTAACATAAATGTTTGGCATCAAGAGGGAAAAGAGGAGCAAAGGTTAAGGAGCCAGTTCAGAGGGAGCAAAGAAAGCATTCTGGTCAGGGCCAGCTGGTGGGTGATTGGAGGTAGTCTTGCAAGGAAGAGTCTTTGAGGTGGCAGAGCCTTAAGCAGCAGATGCTGATTTTTTATTATGAGTGACTGTTAGGACTGCCCTTATGAGCTGCTGAAGGCCTAATTTTTTTTTTTTTTTTT